AGGTTCAACCACTGCAGAGTGTGGAAATTCATGATAAAAGTGATTTTACATTTCGGTCAGTAAATATTTATTAAACATTGAGTGGGTGCAGAGCCCTGGGCTAGGGGAGATAGAGACTTTACACATCCCCTTCCCTAGTGGTTATGAATCTAGTCAGAGGAATTTCACTCACATATTCAACTATAATCTAAATTAACACATAGTAAGTGCATTCAAGATGTTCAAAGTAAAATCTTTTCTGAGGTCTGAGAGAGAAAGCTACTGACTAAGGAATTCGGGTTAGACTCATGAAAGAGGTGCATTTTCCCCTCAGTTTTAAAGGATAGGTAGAAATTTAAAAGGTAAAGAAAGACCTGTCATATCCTAGATGATCATGGTGGGTGGAGAAGGAAAGGGGCCCTTTTTTTTCCTTATTACTACTTTTAAAAAAACACATTGATTTCTGAATCCTCTCCCCCTGCCCTAGGGAGCCATTCCTCACTCCCCCCTTTTTAACAGCTTGAAGACAAACTGTTTATAAGGAGCCTGGGTCCCCTTCTAAATTAAGGTGCTGATAGTCATCTTTCCTGCCCACCCCTCCTTCTTCTCTGGTTCTTTTTCCCTCATATGCTTAATTGCTATGATCTGTGTTTAATTATCACTTGCTAGGGTGTTATGTTGTATAAACCCCTTTCCCTTGGTATGTACTTATAAAGGATGAGCTTAATGAGGAGCCAATTAAGGAGAAAGTGAGTGCTCAGCTCCACTTCAAGGAAGGAAAGGGAGAGGGCCACGCCAGAAGGGAAAGTCGAAGGTTTCCCAAGCTTGAAGTTGGAACTGTTGATTGTTCTTATTTCTTATAGGAGACTTGGGACTAGGAGGACAAGGTCCCAGTGCCCATTTGGGGACCACAGGTCATCTCACAACCAAGCATTCATCTAGTCACCTACTGAAGTGAAAAAGAAAGCTAATGGTGGTTAGAGAATGTCTCTACCCATTCTGTAGCCTAGGGGAGGATCCAGTTGTTTGCAAAGCTTTGTTACATGGTGAGGGTGTCTCAAGAATTGTTTATATCCAGGTAAGGGCCCGTGGGGGCAGGCAGGAAGCAGGCAGGTTGCCTAGGGAGAGGCAGCAGAAGCCTTTCCGTTGTTTCTGGGCCCAGTGGGGCCTTCCTTGGCCTGGCCCTGCATCCCAATGCCCCAAAAGTCCCTTCCCCATCAGAAGTCCTGTCCCAATGTCCTCGGACCCATTTTCTGGTTCTCAGTGATAGATTCTGACCCCCCTGGGGCCCAAGTATATTAATTTCCCTATTAAAGTTGGATATTTCTGTAGTCCTGTCAGAGCTTATTTCTAAACTTGGAATAGGCAGGGACAAATCCCTTCTCCCTACTCACACTCGACTCCTACATCCTCACCCTAGGGTGACTGCTTTGAGACTCTGGAACTGCTGGTATTTCACTTGGCTCTCTTGATAGGGAAAGAAGAATGAGCTTAATTTAAGGCTCCCAGTATACCCAAGCTGCCTGTGGAATATCCCTTGCCCGACCTAGTGTATATGGTGGTAATGGTTACATTGATATGGACATTGATATTAAGTAATGATAAATTGAAATCACATGATGCTTTTCCCCCCAGAACTAAATGGAAAACATTTGCCTACCCTCGTGCCAAATCATGGTGTGTCCCCACAGGGATGGCATACAGTTCTAATCTCCAAGGATAGGATGGGACTAGAGAAGGTGGAAATTTGAATCTGATAGCCTCAGGGATGCATATGCCATATCTATCCTATATCTGCCATGACTTTGTAGACTGAAAGGATCACCAATTTAGAATCAGAAGGGACCTCAGAGGTCATCTAATCCAACTCCCTTACTTTACACAAGTAGAAGATGAAGCCCAGAGAGATTAAGTATTTTGTCCAAAGTCATATGAGTAGTAAGTGTCAGAATCGGAATTTGAACCCAGGTCTAGTTTTGTGGGCAGAGCTGTAGTGTTAGAGGGACCAACAGAGTGGTGAAAACTAGGTCAAAGAGAACCCTGAGACCTCAAGAATGACTGAGCCCTTCCTTATGGGGTTTTTCTTCACAGATGCATCCAGTTTCAACAAACATTTATTAAATTCCTACTATATGTGAAGATTACATTGAACACTGAAGGAGATAATAAATCGAGATAAGGCCCAGCCTCAGCCACCATTGAGTTCAGAGTCTAGTCACATGTGGTTGTGGTTTGTCCTTCATTCTCGAAGAGGACCATGACATCAGGAAGCTGATGCCATGACTTGCAAGTGAGTTGGATTTAAGTGAGGGAGGGCTACGTAAAGTCACCAACCTCACTTTCTCCTACAGAGCCATCTGGGTCCCGTGGCAAGATATAGATCAGGGTGACTGGAGATGGCCTTGGATACAGTGGGAGACCTTGGCCTTTTTAAGCAGAGGTCTTTCCTAGTTCTCACTTTGACTGAGGCAATGCCCATTCAGTGATTAGGGCTGTTTAAGAATTGAGCCTGGGATGGTCCCTTTAATAAAAAAAAAAACTAGTCATATACAGAAATAATGATGACATGATTAGGAAATAAGAGAAATTCAAACCAAATGCTAAGAAACCTCCAAGAGATGAAGGGTTATTGCTGATTTGGGGGTGAGGTGAGGAGAGATGGTATTCAGTAAAAATTTAATTCAGACCTCTGACCCCTAAGTCTCCCCAAAACAAGTCTTACAAGAGCTGGACTCCCCTTAGAGAGAAACATCAAGATGAGCACACATGTATAAATGCATTCACTACATGCCTCTGTAGGGACCCCTGCCTCTTCCTGCCCCCACTCTCACACACCCTCACCCTGGGACTCAGTCACCCTGGGACTCAGATGAAAATAGATGCTCCAGAAAAAATGGACAAGTCTAGAATCTCCTCTGTCAAGGTAGATCAGAGTGAAGTCACTATATCTGGGAATCTATTGGGACAAAAGTGATATGATTCCCTTTCAATTCAATTCCATTTTTAAAGCATTTATTGAGCACCTACTATGTGTCAGGCACTAGGCTAGGTGCTAAGGATACAAAACCAAAAACAGGGCCTGCACTCTAGGAGCTTACATCCTATTGACTCAGAACTGGAGTAGTACAGTTGGTACTTAATAAATACATCTTGACTTGCCTTGAGAAGCACAACATCTAAGAAATGGATAAGACCTAAGAGATCATCTACATCTGATGCCCTTATTTTGGAGATGAGGAAAAAGAGAACTTAAGTGCCTTGCTTGAGATGACGTAGTTTGTCAGTAGCAGAACTGGCTTTAGAACTTAGGTCATGAATTGAATACATGCCTTAGCCATTCCTTCCCCCCAGGAATCTCCAATCCAGCCTTGGTTCAAGGCACTTTCTCTCTTTTCACCAGAACTATAACAAGACTAGGTATCATTTTACAGATTAAGGAAATGAAGCTAGAGAAGATAAGTGGCTCACCCATGGCCTTGCAGCTATAAGAGCCCAGATTCCAACCCAAGTCTTTCTGATGCCAAATCCACCTGGATCCACCACAACATGATGAAACTAGTGTAGGATGAAGATGATAAAAGATGCATAATCTACACCTTAGACTGAGCACTCTTAAAAACAGAGCTCTCGCTCCCTGCAATGGAAGGTGGGATGCTTCTAAAAGTACAGTTCAGGGGCCCAAGGCCCTGATGACATACTCATTTGTAAAGCAAAGTGCCTAAAGAAAAGAGGGAAAAACATAGGAGGAAACACAGATTTCTTCACTTTAGCCAGGGAAAACTCAATTGAACCAAGCAGTGAAGCCAGACTCAGAAAACAGTACATCAACCCCACTCTCTCAGCAGAAACTCCAGGCCAGGACCAAAATCACAAGCCTATGTACAAAAGTTATCTGTAGAAACTTTGGTCGATTTCCTTTTGGGCTTCAACCTCCAATGTTTTTAGAAGTAACACCCACCTTAAGCGTCTCAGCCCAATGGAATCAAAATCTGCTCAACAGGAAGAGCCCTGTCAGGTGTCAGAGGCCTCAGCTTACTCTGAAGCACAGCTGTGATTTATGAGGATATTAAGTTCCATTCAAATAACATTCCATAATCACTCAAAGTTTGACACCCCCCATATATCACATAGATAGATAGATAGATAGATAGATAGAGATATTAATAAATATTTACTCTTATTCTTTCCAGTCTTATAGGTCATTTCTCAATATTAGAATCTCAATCCCCTCCCCCCCAAAAAAAGAGTAGAAGAATTTTAAATGGGATGTCTTTGAAGAAAGTAGACTCTTCCAAAGTGCTCCTGAAACACTTCACCACCCATTTTCTACCCCACCTATTTCCCAATCCCACTCCGAATGCCAGGAGTGGACAAGAACCAGCAAAAGGTGGGCACTGATGCAAGTGGAAAACAGAGACTCTGTAGGTGCCAGCATAAAAAAGTTGGGGGTGGGGGCTGAGGAGCCCCTGCTGGTGCATAGTGGTGACCACCAGACCAAACCGTAACACTGTAACAAAGTTGCAAACAGCTCTAAAGATGCGATAAGAATTCCACCCACCTCTCTCTCTCTCTCTCTCTCTCTCTCTCTCTCTCTCTCTCTCTCTCTCTCTCTCTTCCCTTCTCCGCCCTCCCATTGCGCAAAGACAGTGGAAATCTGGTGTCCAGCGGTGCTTACCCCAAAGCCCCCTCCCCACCACCTCCATGGTTCGAAGCACAGCCTCTAAGCTGTAGGTGTCTGAAGCAGCAAAGGAGTGAGGTGGGAAGTGGGCAGGCTAGGGGGTGGAGGGCGAGGGGTGAGGGGGGAAGAGGTCTGCGGGCGCCGCCTTGGCACGCTCGGCAGGGGAGCAGGCGTCGGAGCTGTGTGGTCACAGAAACTGCTACCATCCTGCGCTCCTGCATTGGGAATATAGCTGGACCGCCGCCCTCCCCAAACCTACCCCATGCCAGGCGACACTCTCCTGATGTGACACCTCCCTCTCCTTATGGGGACGCTAGAGGAGACCAAACGCTGGCGACCTTACCCAAAAGCCCCGCGCCCAACCATCTCGCTGAGGCTGGGACTTGGAACCCAGACCCGGGCATCGTCCTGTCTTCTCCTGGGAGTGCGGAGAAAGCAAAGACTGCGGCGCGAAGCTGGGACAGGGGCTGCGGGTTGGAAAGGTCTGGAGCGGAGGGACAGAGCCTCCCGCTCACCCCTCTATCTGCAGTCCGCCACCCAACAGCCACTGGAGCTCTGCACCGGCCGGGCTCGGCAAAGTTAGCGCGGAGAAGAGGAGAGCTGAGAAAGGGAGGGGAACAGAGAGGAGGGGAGGGAAAAGGAGGGGGCGGGGAGCGAGGAGGTAGGAAAAGAAAAAAGAGCTTACTTCTGCCCCCTGGAGCCGGCTGCGGGAGATGCTGTTGGAAGAGGAGGACGAAGAGGAGGTGGAGGAAAAGAAAAGAAGAGAAAAAAGAAAGAGGGAGCGTGCCTTGTAGTCGGCGACTCCGGGAAATGGACTCAAACGTCCGAGAAGACGCCTCTCTCTAGATACCCTCCTCGGCCCTTGCACCAACTGCTTACCGTCCTAGGGGGTCAGGTGAAGAGCAAGGGACCCCCTGCTCCTTTCCTGATGGAGGAGAGAAGGGACTTTATACCCGCCGTGAGGGGCCAACAGGGAGCACTCTCCAGCTCTGCACTGCAGTGCCAGCCAGCACGTGGGCAGTCCAGCCCTCCGTTCCCGGGCCACTGGCTGCAGCTATCCCGGCCTGTGCTGCGGGTTATATAAGGGGGCGGACAGTTTTGTTTTGCTTTGCTTTTTTGAGGGGGTGACCTGGGGGGTTGTGCAGAGACGGAGTCACAGCCTTTCCCTCCCCCCTTAACCCCGACCCGGGCAAAGGGATACACTCTTCCCACATTGCACATTCCTGAAGCCTCCAGCTCCGGCAGCCCAGGAGTGACGCTGAGTTGCTGCCGGGCCAGCTGCAAACTGCAACAGGGACTTCTGGACATAAGCAACTGTTAGGACTCCCGGAATCTTGTGCCTGGGCTGCAGCTTCTGCACCATTGCCTTATTTCTACTACCTCCCACCTCGCAAGCTGCGCCAATAGTTGGATAGCCAGGACCCTGGTCAGCTGCCAAACACTGTTCTGTTCATAGCAAACCAAGAGGGAGGAAGCCCAAGAGATCTAATGCAGTTCGCCTGCCCCTCATTTTACAAAAGAAGAAACTGAGGCCCTGAGAAGCCAAGAGGCCCAAGATCACACTGCTAGTCAACAACAGAAACAAGATTTTAATTCATTTTCAGTGTGATGCCTAGGAACCTGCATTTTGAGTCAAATGAACTGGGTTCATATCCTGGCTCTGCTCCCTACCACTAGTGTTACCTTAAGTAAATCCCTCCCCTTCTCTGTACTTCAGTTTCCTTATACATCAAATGAGAAGTTGGGATAGAGAACCTCTGAAATCTCTTCCAGCTTTCCATGCTATAAACCTATAAACTGAAATTGAGTGTTCTTTCACTATAGCATCCTAGAATTCAGCTTCCCATCATGATAAACCAGAAACAACTCCTTCCCCCTGGTACTGGCTCCAGCCCTCATTACCTTCTTCTAAAGGTTACCCAGAGCCCATAAGGTTCTCTGCTGGGAACCTCTCTCTCTCTCTCTCTCTCTCTCTCTCTCTCTCTCTCTCCCTCTCTCTGTGTATGTATGTGTGTCTCTCTCTCCCTCTCTCTCTCTCTGTGTCTCTCTCTCTGTCTCTCTGTCTCTCTGTCCTCTCTCTCTCTCTCTCTCTCTCTCTCTCTCTCTCTCTCTCTCTCTCTCCCCTCTCTCTCCACTCCACTTTCCCTTCTAATGTACCCTTATTCTTCACACTTCGTTTCCTCCCATTTCAATAGAGGGAATTGCTGCCTACTTGCCTCCTCTTGAAGCTTCCTGTCCTCATTCTCTCCTAAAAACTTCTCCTCACCTCTTTCAAATTCCTCCTCCAAACTTGATTTTCTTCTCTAGCCAAAAATTGATATCACCTTACCAAGATGGTCCCTTCTGGGGCATTCAAGAGGCCATTCCTTTGTAAGGATCCCAACTAGCAGAGCACCCAGATTAAATAGATCAAATAGGTATGTCCTATTACTAAAGGCACCAAGGTCAAAAATGATAGCTGCTATGATTGCATTGTCCCAACTGTCCACTTGTCCATCTGACCTTTCCCCCTCTTAGTGATACTGGCGAAGATTCAGATTCCCTCCTTTCCAGACCCTCTGGCCTCAGCAATGTCAAGTTGGACCAGCCCAACATGGAAAAATGGTTATTCCATCTAAGTGGATGCAACATGCACGCAATAGCACCAATTCAAACTCTTTCTAGAGGATACAGGGCCCTGAATCACAGAAAGCAACCCTAGGAGGTCTCAGGTATGAATGGTAACACAGGCATAAACTGTGGCCTTTTTTCTTATAACAGGGTTCATGTTTCCCTGAGGAAGAAGCACAGGTAAAAAGAGATGGGCCAAGGGCAAGGAAAGGAAAATGACCCCCCACACACACAGAAGGTCAGGCAAGGGGGTGGAGAGGAGGACAGTGGGATATGGATATCTTTAGATGCTGACAGCAGACAGCAGGAGCCAAATAGAATAGAGTATCCTCTCCCCCACCCTCTTGGCCTTCCTCCTGCCCCACATTCTCAGAAATCCCAGACCTGCCTCCAAAGAGAAAATATTGTAGTAGCTGGGCTGCAAAAAAGAAAAAATGTTTAGGAAAGGTACTAGTATGCAGGTGGATCAATAATAATGATTCCTTATTATTGTGTTTATACAGCACTTTCCTTCAAAAAAAAAAACCTCAAAGCCTTTTTACAAGCATTATCTCATTGATTCTCTAGGGCCCTCAAGAGGAGGGAGGGAGAGAGGGGGGAAAAAAAGAGAAGAAAGAGAGGAGAAAGAGATAGGGGAGAGAAAGAGAGAGAGGAAAAGAGAGGAGGAAGAAGAAGAGAAAGACAGATTGAGAAAGAGAGAGTGAGGGGGAGGGGGAGAGAGAGAAAGTGAGGGGGAAGGGGAGAGAGAGAAAGAGAGGGGGAGGGAGAGAGGAAGGGGGGGAGAGAAGGGGGGAAGGAGGGAGGGAAAAATCGTGATCTATATGTATATGTAGCTGGACAGAGTCCCTTCTTTGCTATCCTTTGAGGTCTGCCTCCTTCAGGAAGCCCTTGTTGATTCACTGAATTGCCATTAGAAAAAAGCATCATTCCTAAGGAGGCAGGTAAGGTGGTGTATCTTATGAAATGGAATAGAGAGGGTTATTTGTTCCTTTAATCAAACCTCTATTGGAAGCTCCTTGAGGGGAGAGATTGTGTCGTCTTCCACAATATATGCTGCTGGGTGGGGATTGATTCCTGGAGATGATAAAGCTCATACATAGCCAAGCTCTTGGGTGGCCCAGTTCAGAGAACACCCTGCAGAACAAGTTTTCAGAGAGACCTCAATGGATTGGGCCTGGAGCCAAGCAGCTGTCAGAGAGTGTTCCTTCTGAGGCAGGATGAGAAAGGACCTGGATTTATGATAAAGGAAGCTTTTCCTTGGGGGATTCATTAAGGGTTCTTTGGCAGTTATTCCAAATGGCCTTCAGCAATCCCAGGCAGTCACCATGACTCCCCTCTGCCAACCTCAACCCTCTACCCTCAACCCATCTGGGAAGCTGGGAGCAGGGCTAGAGCCTAGAGGCAGCAAAACTTGGGCTTGGAGTCAGAAAAAGAGCCTAGCCCTCCTTCCCAGCATCTGCTGGGCTTTGGAGTGTCCCCAAACAAATCTGGGGTAGAGGATGTGTATGCAGCTTGGTCAGGGGAAATGAAGAGATAGCACAGCATCCCAGCAAAAGGTTTAGCTTCAGGCTGGAAGGTCTAGTCCTTTTTGGGAGATATCACCTGTAAACAGCAACTTAGAGGGCTCATTCCCATGACAACTCATAGAGAAAACTTTGAGGACCCTGGGCTTAAAGGTGGGGTAAGGGATTAAGGAGACCTTGTATTTTTAAGGTCCATGTAGCTATCATAAGAGGCTTTCCATATAAGTAGCATGAGGGTCCAGCAGAAATCTTTATTTTCCTCCTTATACAAAATCATAGAATTTAGAGCTATAAGGGACCTTAGAAAGCATTCAGTCAAACCTGCACATTTTGCAGATAAAGAAGCGGAGGTCAAAGAGGCTTATATTCACATCAGTAATATATGTGAAGGAAGGGCTCCCCCTTTGGCTTCCCTATTGCTCTTCCATCATTCCATGTTTCTCCTCTCTTCACCTACCCCTTCTCCAAACACATACTCAGACTTCTTAGTGGAGGCCCTGTGGGAGAACAGAGTTGAGATCTCACATAGAAGTTGAGGACCAGTTTTGCCTTCTTGGGTATTCTGCCTTGGTAGCTCCCAAGCTTGAGACACCAGGATCACCTGAGAACCTCTCCTACCTCATGTCTCACTTCTAACAAAAACCATGATCTGTGACTGTTCTTCCCTTACCTACACTGCAGTCCAATGGTAAACAGGAACCTTACCCCCTTGACCTCAAAATAATAGATTCCAATGCTAGTTTGCATCTCATTTATATGTTCATTTAATGTCCTAATGTATAGAAATCCCACTCTCTCTCCTGCTGGGTTAGATTGTGTTGATCTAACCAGAAACACTTTCTCAGAGAGGTTATTGAATCATAGAATATTAGAGTTGAAATTTACCTGTAAAACCATTTAGTCCAACCCTTTTACAGATGAGGAAACTGTGGCCCAGAAGCAGATGAAGTGACTTGTTCACGATCATGCAGTTAGTAGGAGTAGCTGGGACATCCTCTCAGTTCCCCTGATTCCAAATCTATTGCCTCTGTCAATGTTATGCACTTTCTCACCTAAATACTCCCAGGCTTTCTTCCATTCATTTCCATTTCACCCTGCTCAGGAAATCTAACCTTATCCTACTCCCAGTCATAAGCTTCAGCTTCCAATAAGTTCAACAAGCACCCAAAGGGTTAATAGAATAGCATGCAACAACCCGGCTCTGCAGCCCTAGGAATTGCTTGTCACTGTTGACAGCAAGGCAAGAAGGCTAACTTATTGCAACACAACTTTGTGCCCTGTTTCTCCCACCTCCCTTTAACCCACATTTGCTGCCTTATCCCCCAGATCCCCCAGGAAAAGGGCTGAGCCTCTGCCTGCTCAGAAGGGTAGCTAAGAAAGGAAGAGTTGCTGCAAAAAGAAATCGCCTCCCTCTACCCTCCTCCTGGATAGAAAACCTAGGGATAGAGAAGAGGCT